GCGTTGAGTTGACCCTCCACCTTCACCTGACGTGAGGGACACGACCCTGCCCGAACCCGTGAGCCCTTCTGCTCGCACATAAACCAGATCCAACTCTCCCACCATGACTACAAAGACGTTGGGCTACAGGGAGAAGTTGGACCATGACCGTCCAAAGGTGGACCTCAGCACCCATCGTGGAAGGGGAGCGAGGGGTGCCATGGGAAAAGCCTTCCGCACCGCTCAGCATCACCGAATGGGGCAGGGCGCTGCTCTCCTGGGCTGCGATCCCCCATCCCAGGGGAAAAATGGGGGGTAACACGGACAAAAAGTGGGGGTAGATACTTACTGCCATGGACTTGAGTGTGATCTGCTCGTAGTAGTGAATGGTCTGCTTCTTGTTGGCCGAATCGGGGTAGCCAAAGCCCGCGATGTGCACCAGGTCGCAGAAGTGCAGCGCCAAGGTGATGGCCAACAACCCCGTGGTGGGCTTCTGGAGGGAGAGGGTGGAGGAGAAGACGTGAGAAGAGCCGTGGGCCTTCAGCGAGCTGCATGGGGATGGCCAGGGGGACCAGCAGGGAGGACGTCACCCCTCGGGGGGCGCAGGGTGCCAGGCCATCCTCACCCCTCACCTGTTTGACCTTCCGTGGTTGCTTCATGGGGAGGTTGAGCAGTTTAGCAGCAGTTACTTCCATGTAATAAGGGTTGAGGATGCGCACTCGCTCCGGGTTGGCGTCCCAGATCAACGGGGGCTGTTTCCAAAACCCTTTCCGAACCTGCAAGAGGATGGAGATGGCCAGTGGTGTCCCCAATAAGAGAGGTAGGGCCCCCAGGGGGGGGGGGGGTGAGGGGGTGGGGTGGGATGAGGGTTGGACCTGGTTCCCCGCCACGCTTACCCTCTTCTTGTCGTTGAGGATGGCCTCCATCCACTGGAAGTCCATGGGCTTGAAGGGCACCAGCACCAGCAACGTGTCGGGGTTGTTCTCCGTCCTGGGGTTGAAGTGGGCCGACTCGGGGTAGAAGAGGCGCATGGTGGTCTTGGAGCCCACGTCCTGCTCATAACCGTGGACCGGGGCGTTGTTCAACCTTGGCGGGGAGGGGACATGGGGACATCACAGGTGTCAACCCCATCTGCAGGTGGTACTGGGGAGGGGTCAATGGGACGGACCCAGGGCTGTACCTGATCACAACGTCGTACGTGTTGATGGTCTCCCCCATGGAGCTGTTGCGGAGCCGGTGGCCGTTGCCCACCACCGCGCACCTCCGGCACTTCAGGCTGCGAGAGAAAAGCCCTGTCTCAACCAGACCTGCTCTAAACCAAGGTGGTTTTAACCCCTGAGGGGGGGGTTGAACCCGGCGTGGTCCACTCTACAAAGCTTCCCATGCTCTGTCCACCGTCCCTGGGTTGCAGAGGTTCACTTTGCCAAACCTTGGGCCCACGATGTGCAGATTTTCCCCCTCCCCAAGAAAGCAACGATGAAGAGAAAGACAGAAAAGCCCCAAAACCCACCCCGGCGTTACCTCTGGATGCTCTCGGGCAGGGAGTAGTGGGTGATGGAGAGCAAGCGCAGGAGGACGTCTTCTGCAAAAGCAAGGGCGAGGAGAAGGTGAGCAAGACGGCTCCTGCCTGCTACAACGCCCTGGGTGCTGCCCCATCCCTGCCAGATGTCCTCCTGCCGTTAATCCCAGCTGCCCCCAGATCTGGGCAGATAATCCTTGGCTGGGGCTTAGTAAAGCCTGGCCTACCCTAAACCCTTTTATATGGACCACATGCACCCAGGGCAAGTGGATACGTGCCGCAAAGTCTGAAAATTAAGCAAACGACTCGCTAGGGAGGAGGAAAAAAGAAAATAGTCCTCCAAAAAAAAAAAAACAAAAAAACAACCTGCAGATGTTTTTAAAAAGGACGGACAGACAGAAATCCACGGCGAGTGCCGCCGAGGCTTACCGCTTCCTTTCGTGCCGTAGGGCAGCTCGTAGAGTGACGGCGTCTTCACCCAAAAATAGTCCTTCAGCTGCAAG